CCCTCTGCAAGGGGATCTCCAGTGGGCCTCCAGCCTTCTTTACCCTGTTCTGACACCAAGCATCCCTCTCACCCTAATCCTCTGCTGGGTTCTGTACTTCATTGCAATGGCCACTCAGAACTCACAGACAATACTCACCATTATGGGAATTTGTTAGGGAAGCTGACAGGTTACAAAATGATAAGGATACAGTTCTTTTGTCTGCAGCACTTCTCAGCCACGCTGGCAGTCATGTCTGGAACATGGCCTCTCCTTCGTCTTGTCCCTTAGTCTCTGTCTCTATTTGCAGCTCCTCTGTTCTGTCTCATTATCTCGTGCTGCTGCCTCTGGGATCTCACATGTGTTCTACTGGCGGCTCTTTTTTTGATGGCCACAGGGCTATTGCTCCTGCTTCTGAGATCCCTTATTCTTATATACAAAGTGGAATGGAAAAACTCACCAATCCGTTCTGTTAGTGTTTCACACATCCTAGTTTTGTCCTACCCAATCCTTTGGTGGGCTTTACAAAGACTTGAATAGAAGCATATGTAGGGTCATTAGGGGTTTAATGGGACCCCTGGTAGTATAGTGGTTATGCATTGGGCTGCGATCCTAAAGGAGCGCAGTTCAAAACCACCAGTCAGTTACATGGGAGGAAGATGGGGCTTTCTACTCCCACAAACAGTTACAGTCTTGGAAACTCACAGAGGCACTTCTATAGTTTCATTGAGTCACATTGACTTGAAGGCAGTGTTTGGTTTTTGTGTGTATGTGTGTGGATTTGGAATTGACTCAATGGCAGGGTGTTTTTTCAAATATATACCACTTGCTTAAATTATAATTTCCTGAAATCTCCGTAACAATTTCTGTTTAGAAGCATTTGCTTAAAAAGCTTCTTGCAGCTGCAGTTCAAGCTGTAATATAGAAACACTGTACCATGGCTGGGAAGTGGTTTTCACATTTGATTTGCTGAAGCACATATCTATCACCTAGTGTGACAGAATTGGCTTTTCCATTCTCCGGGATTGCATTGTGCTTCTTGATCAATGTTATTTATAAATGTTTACTGACCAAAAAGGCATCATTCTCAAGTTTTATTTCTTTACTCAAAACTACACAGGAAAGTCCCTGGTTACACAAACAAATTGGTGTTGACTGCTAACCAAAAGTTTGGTGGTTCAAGTCCACCCAGCAGTGCCTCAGAAGAAAAGCCTGGCAATATCCTGCTGTAAGGTTGTGACCATTAAATCTTCGTGCGTGTGCACGCGCACACACTGCAAAAATATTTTGTAACATCCGTGTAAAAAAGTTGAATTATTCCAGGGCAAAATTTCTTTTCCTGTTCATACAATGCGGATCCTTTTAATGAACCGCCCTGACACTAAAAACGCAAAACCAAACTCACCGCCGTCGAGTCAATGCCGACTCATAGCAGCCTTCCTTATAAGACAGGGTAGAACTTCCCCTGGGTGTTTCCGAGACCAACTCTTCACAGGCGATTTCAAACCGCAGACCTTTTGGATGGCTGCTTGCCACATAACCACCGCGCTACCAGGCCTTCTTTTTGTTTTGCTTTGGTTTGTAAGAATGGCCTTGACCCTAAAACGATACACGATTTTCATCAAATCTTTCTTTAGCACAGTCAACAAAGTTCTTTTAAACCACACAACAGAACGCTTCAAATACACGGCTGGCTCTCCTTTCGATTTGCACAGTTCTATTGGAGGCTTGGTGGCATAGTAGGTATGCATTGGGTTGCGATCCACAAGGTTGACAGTTCGAAACCACCAGCCACTTGGCAGGAGCAAAACTAGGCTTCGTACTCTCGTAAAGAGTTAGTGTCAGAAACTCACGGAGGCAGGTTCGTCCTGTCCTATAGGATTGCTATGAGTCAACTTTGACTCGATGGCAGTATCACTATGTAGACATTGAAAACTGTGAGCAAGAAATAAGTCAGATTCACCCACTAGACTATTTAATAAGCCAACAAGAATTTAGGGTATCGTTTAGAATTAAAGTATGATTTCAGGGCTTCAAATAAGTTGAAGATCCTGTCCGCTGCATTTGTTAAAGATAGCCAATGAATTTTTTAATGTGAGAGAATTGAAGAATACTGCATGCCAACAAAATCCTTTAGTTGCTCAGTTTGGACAGCATAAGTGCTGAAGAGAACAACAT